ATATGGAACCGTCTTCAACTACAGAATAGAAATCCAGTTGCTTTATTTTTAAAACCTTTTGGATCTAGAGCGGATTAATCGTTGTAGCCAAGTCCATTCAAGATGGCTGACACAGCCTAATTACATCAGCCAACACAAATGACTATAAATGTCAGTTTTACAGATACTGAGCTAACATTTGACTTAATTGTAGCTGAGAGTCATTTCCAACGTATACAGTACTCTGAGTATGGCCGTGCATAATGATTTATTCAAAGGTTGATCAAAATGACTACAATCCCATCGTTTTGTCAACAAAGGATTTTCTCAGTTTAAAACTGAAAGGTGGTGGGTGATCTGCATTCTTTCAAGAAAATGGTAGGTCTTTCATTTTTTATTGTTTCTGATACAGCGCTGTAGGGTGCATGTTATCTGCTTGATAAATACCGTATTTTTTGCTGTATAAGTCGCACCATTTTGCATAAATTTGCAAGTCCTGCCACTTATACAACGTCACGACTAATATACTATGTTTTTTCCCCATATTTGTAATCCAATTTTTGGCTGAGATCTGACAATTTCATTCATTCTGACATGAAAAAGATTAAACATGATAATTTTTAGCCTAGAGGGCCCTCGAGCCTTATGGCAAGCCAAGTGTCTCATTAATAGGTAAAAGCGGCTATTACTGAGACACTTGGCTTGCCATACAAAGCCACCTGTTGCGCAAGAACTCCTGGAACAAATGTCAAATCAGCTGCATTTCTAGCTGATTTGACCATTAAAGTGCATTTATTAAGGAAAAGTTCAACTGAGACACACCTTTGCTATAATTTCTAACAAACAAATAATTGTTTTTAAGCGTTAATCTTGTTAAATTCTTGTTAAAGTCCTATGCGCTGTCCTTGCGGCTGCCATTTTGGCAGCCAATCGATTTTTGGCACAACACCACCGGCCCACGTTTCCAGGTGGTCAGCGATGAGACTTAACAAACGCAACACTCAGTGACGATGACGCATAATAGATGCGACTTATACGGTGAAGCGACTTATTTGTGGAGTTTTTTTCTTCTTTATTAGACATTTTTGGACTGATGCGACTTGTACAGCGGAAAATACGGTTTACAGAAATGAGCATAAACTTTCTCAAATGGGATTTAAATTAATTTTTAGCTTTCCACATGTTTTCCTTCTCTACTTTGGTATAAATAAATTTAAAAAATCCGGGAGCAGTTTTGTGTCCGCACTCTACAGCGCCACAAAGATGGGAGTGCTCAACTTTAGTTGCTTTAATTAGTTAATTGCTGATAACTAGTGATTATTCTTGCCTGTAATTTGTTAGAATAATTCCACTCTGATGTTCTTGTCTTGGTTTATACGTGTCTGAACCACCAGCTGTCATGAAGCTATTTTTTTTTCGCTGTGCATCCGAAATTAATAGACACTCACTGCCTCTGAAGTGCCTGATGCTATTGTAATACAAGCCATGTGGCATTTGGCCAAGGCTGCGATAGAAGACGCAATTGTTTAGTGTTTTTTTTTTTTTTTCAATATTCTGCTCCTTTTAATGCACCCTAATAAGTAAGTAAATGGTGAAAAGATGTGTGTCTGAAATCACAGCGGCCTTTGTTGTAGATAATTAGGTTAGCAGCAAGAGCGTGCAGGTGCTGAGGGTGTGCTGTGCGCTTGTGGTGTGTTATCGACTTGCTCATAGGCTGTCAGGGGTGTCGCACTTCCCATCAGCCCCAAAGCTCAGCAACCTCTTCACTATTAAAATGATCACTTTCAATAGCGGACAAAGGAAAGAGGGAGCATATCTAGTGCAGGGTATTTTCCCCACCTCTAATGCTTATCTGCCTTTTGATGTTGCCGTAATAAAAGGCCTATTGGGCTTCCACAATGACCTGCAAAATGGACAAGGGCCGATATACTAGGCTCTGACTGTCGCTAGCATTAACTAAAAGGTCTAGATATTATAGAGAGCCGGGGATGAAAGTACATGGAAAAAAAATAATTGAAAAATTGCCTAATGCTAAAGTGAAAGAAAATGGAACTGTGAAAAGGCACTGTAATATTCTGTTATCCCTGTAAATGCAGCCAAACAAGAGATGCAGCGTGGCATTCTTTTTGAAATGGATGTGGTTCAATTACCTGCATGTCTAAATCTAGTTAAGGCGTCCATTGTCGGGCTTGAAACACAACAGGCAGTTTTGATGCAGTGTTAAAGCGTATTATGCCCTACAACCTACATAAAATCACAAGAGGTCTGACTCCATTCAAGATGTGGAGGGGAATTAAAGCTCATACTGAGAACAAGGTTAATTTTATATTTATTCTGTTCGAGACTTCTGTTTGAATCCCTGTCCTAACAGAGAGGCTCTGTTTGATCAAGCTGATGGAAAAGGTTACAGTTAAAAAGTTTCTAAGAATTAATGTTTAATATTTAATAAAGAGATTATTTGAGCATACAGAAAACAATTTTTTTTGATGCTTCCAAATATGTATTTTCTGATTGATATTACTTTGAAAAGGACAAATTCCAGTTATGTAGCTTTTTACATGTTGGCCTCAATAAAATAATGTCAATACACCGTTCGGTTAAGAAAGGTTTACACTTTATACATTACTGTATTTTTCAGACTATAAGGACCACTTAAAATCCTTAAATTTTCTTAAAAATGGACAGTGAGCCTTATGATCTGGTGCGCCTTATGTATTAATTCTGGTTGTGCACACAGCGCTCAAAAATGCATATTTTTTGTCTTGTTTTGTATTTTGTGTTACAACTGAACAATGTTGAGAGTCATAGTGAATGAGTTGAATAAAGTTTGACTTATCTGATTGTTTTGTATCACTTAATGTGCCTTATAATCCGGTGCGCCTTATGTATGAAAACAGACCAGTTCATTAGGCTTGTCACAATCACAAATTTTGCTAAGCGATTAATTGTGTCAGAAATGGTATGGTATGGTATGGTATGGTATAAAGTTTATTCATTTTAAAAATACAAAACAGTTTCATAACTATATAAAAAAAATACAGGAGATTTAACCCTGCACCCTAATAAATTATTAAGAAATTGTTGCGATAAATGATAATATTGTTTGAAATTTGACAATAATTAGTAATTTTTGTCAAATTTAAGAAGAAATGTTGGTTAATTTGTTTTGTGTGTACTACATTTTTTGACCACCGGATGGCAGTATGACTGTTTGAACCGAAGGATGGCTAGTGAGGGAGCGAGCAGCATGTCTCTTTAAGAAAAATGGGAGGGAGGCCCCTTGATGTGACATGGGCTGTCTCCTTCCTTTTTTTTGGTTCTCAAAATGGCAGACGCTCGGGGTGGTTTGAGCTCTTTAGCATAACATTTTTCACACAAAGCTTTTAATAAAAAAAGTCAGTAAACAAGTTCTCAGCTGCATTTTACGAGAAAAACAACTTTTTACATGAATGCACGAGTTTCAACCGTGAATTTTGAAACTTCGACAAGACGGAGTTTTTTTTTTCCCGAGGTCGGCCTGTTAGCTTAACTCATAGCTTAGCTTCTCAGCTCAGCTGCTTTTAACGATCCAAAAACGTGATTTTGGATCGTTAAAATGGATTTTAAAGAAAAGAGAGAAAATGGAAAGGGAGGGGTCGGTGAAGAGCACCAGAGTTGAGCCTTTTGTCATCCAGTGTCTTCAGTAGAAAGAGAGACACGAAGAAACAATAAAGCCGATAAATGAAAATGGGATCGATCATTTTCATTTATCATGCGATTAATTGATTTATTGTTTATCGCGACAGGCCCATCGTTCATTGATATTGCGCCTTATAGTTAAAAAAATACGGTAACGAGGAGCTTAGCATTCTTTGAAGAAATATAGACGACCTGCAGCCTTACATGCCAGAGTTTTAGACTAAAATCATCTTATGTTAAGTAATTAACTTGTGCTTATTTACATGAATTTAAAAAAATTGTAAATTAATGCGATATTGCAAGGTGTCACTTCCTGTGACGAACTCTCAGCTACTACCACACCAACGTTTAGCCCAATATCTGTAAAATCGCCTGAATATTTCGTTTTTGGTTTTTTTTGTTTTTTTTTGTTTTGGCTTTGGTGGTCATTTTGAATTTGTTTGACTCAAATACCTAAATAGTTGCACATCCAATGATTATTTCCTGGAAGTTTCATTAAAATCCATCCAGTAGTTTATAAAAAAAAAAAATTGCCAAAGAAGTTTAGTCCAAATAGGTATGCCTAGTTTTTCTACAAAAAGCACTCAGAGTATGTGCTGGGAATCAATCTCAGCTACTACCATGTTAAGGTTTAGATTCGTATCTGTAAAATTAACCAGGATGTAGCCAGTTTTTGTGTTATTTATTTTTTCTTTCTTTTTTTTTTTTTTAACCTCAGTTGACATTAGCAGCCATCTTATATCAGGCTGACTCCAAAAGTTTGTCAATTATATAATTATATTTATACTGGATTAAAATTTGTACAGTGCGCTGAGATATTTTGGCAACAAACATATGAACACACACAAACAATGGCAAGAATTTTGTTGCCTGCCTTTGCAGCAGGAAATATGACAAATCTTGTAACTCAGCTGAGCTTTTTTAGCAATTTCTTTGATTTGCTTGATGGAGTAGGTGGTAACTTTGAAGTGGCATACTTTAAAAACTTTTTTTTTTTTTTTTAAATAAAGCCTAGTTTTGATTTTGCCATCACAAAAGATGTAATGAAATTCATCCATTCATCATTCTCATTGAACCCAATTCATCTTTCAGCAGGTGATTTTATTAGCTTCAGTCTGAGTCTTTGGTCTACAGACCCAGCAGCTGAGCAACAGCTTATACATGCTGGGGTCAAAGGTCAAAGGCTCAACTCTGACTTGATTAAGATTAGGTTACAAATACACATATATCTTAAGAATTTTATTTAATTTGGTTTAAAGACCAAAGAGTCCTCTATGTTTTCACTCTAACCTTTTTTTTTTTTCAGAATTTAATACTTGTTTTATTTTCTGTCCTACGTACAGGTAACCGTGAAAATGTATAAACGTGGCTCTCACGGCTGGCTGGGGAAATCTCTGAACGCCACCGCTACAATCCCTTCAAACACCTTTGTGATTTTCAAGATCAGCGGTGAGGAAGATGATGCCAAAATCCCAGCGAACACCATTCACAGCATCACACTCAGCATCTGACGGTGTGCAGATATTGCACGTTGTTGCACAACCGACACTAAAACATATAAACTTTCTGAATGACTAAAGGGGCAGATGCAAACAAAAAAAATCCAGCCTTTTTTAATGTGTTTTTTCTTCTTCTTCTATGCTGTGTTGTGGCAAGACAACTTCCAAATAACTTGGTGTGAACGTGCTTTTGGGATAAACAAGCACTTTTTTTTTTTTTTGGTCATGCAATATTTTAATATTTGTGTGATAATTAGCCTGATTAATTTTTCATGTTTTGACTGTTTAGGGCTGGCCCACACTTTACAGAAGCTATTAATTAATCATTTAGTCAGCCGATTGAGTCACATCCATTCAAGCTACGAGTGTTTAATGTGGTAATTGTGGCAGTTAAATATGGGTGGCCTGTGGCACGACAAGTGTGTTACTGCTTCTGTGGGTTTAATGGGAAGTTATTTACAGTCTGATTAGAGAGTGCGGCTGTAAGTTGATTTATTAATGTGCTCCACTGCTCAGAGGAGAAAACCTATTCAGGATAACAGGCACAGCCACTAACACCCTTCATAACAGAGCCTGTGTTGCTTTCTATAGCTTACCGGGCTAACAGTGCTACGCTAACAGCTTCCAATTGTATTTACTGAGCATGGTAGTGGCCAAAATGATGTTATTTCCATCACAATATCAGTGCCTTTTAGCTAATATGATAAAAGAAGCTCTCTCTGGTGATTGTATCGCTGCATGGCATCTCTACCTGAAACATCAAGCTCCTCACTTGTTGTTTACGGTTACCTGATGTACAGATCGGAGGTGGTTTTACAAGCAGCTCTGTCTTTTTAGCATTGTTCAGGCAGATTTATAAGACTTCACTTGAATACATGTGTGTTAGTTTTTGATAATTTTGTTGTATTTGGATAATTAAACCTAACAGGAGCTGTTGACTTTGTAGTGTTTGAGGAGAAAAATACAGAAATGGGTATCATTTAAAGTAAATTAATATAAATTTGATAAATGGTGAGTGAATGTAAGTTTTATAATATAATTATATCTATCATTATTAATCATTACCATAATATTTATCATTGTAAGAATGTCTTCTTCTTTTTTTTTTCCAAACTTCAAGCACTTTCTGGGGTTAAGCCAACACTGGTGATTGGTTTAAGCATGATTATGTATTATGTGTGTGTGTGTGTGTGTGTTTTTAAGTCCTTGTATGGGTTTTTAAGGTTTGAGTTGTAATAAAGATGTTTGAATATTTAATAGTTAATTACAGTTTTTGGGTCTGTCTCCTAATTTTGGACCATAAAAAAAAAAAAAAAAAAAGATAACAGTAGGACAATGTTCGAGGGTGTGCCTGCACAGTGGTCAGAGGCCCGGTCTTGTAATCCAGAGGCTTCAAGTTTGACCCCCATGGGAGTTCATTTGCTGTGGTGACCCCTGCAGAGGGGAACAACAACAATAGGACAATGTTCATAATTTAATGTATGCTGCCACAATAGATATACAGTAGTCCCTCGTTTATCGCGGTGGATCCGTACCCTGAAGCCCCGTGACAAGTGAAAAACTGTGAAGTAGGGATAGTAGTACAAGTAGTAAGTAGTATCGGTAATTTATTTTAGTATTTATATATATATGTATATTAAGGCGTTTTAAATCCCACACTATTGCAATATTCTAAACAATGTTTCTAAACTAAACGTTCTAAAAGAGCACAGAATGTCGTGATTTCCCTCTCTCTCTGCCTCCTCTGCTCTCAGCCACCTACCTGCAAGTTCTTGACCACGCCCACTTCCTCTCTGCACAGAGAACAGCTGATCAGCTGCAGGAGAAAGCTTAGCCTGCAGTGTGGGCTACACAAAGGTGCAACAGGTGCTAAATAATTTAAAAATAATTCATTTTAAATAAAAATTTCATGCCCATCGTGTGGCTCATCCATCAATCAGCCAATTGTGTGTCATGTCCAATCTTATTTTGAAAAACCGCGATAGAGTGAGTCTGCGAAAAACGAATTGCGAAGTATTGAGGGACTACTGTATTTCTACCTTAAAGCTCTGTGGACCTGACTTACAAAGTTACAGTTAGTAAAATTTAGTTTATTCTACTGGCAGAGGTGCATTTTAAAGAAATTATTAGTTGGATATACAGTCCCTCGCTACTTTGCGGTATGACTTTTGCGGACTCGCTCTTTTTCCACACAAGATTGTACGCAACACACGATTGTCAACTTTAATATTACGTGACTGGGACGGTACGGGATAAAAAGTTAATGAAAAAAATACTTTGGACAGTCGCAGCCATTTTCTAGGTTTCTTTCCAAGCCTACACTGTAACACACGTCAAAAGAACTACACTACCCAGAAGCCAATAGTGCTTCCAGCCTCTGCTTTCTGCTGAAATGGCAGCAATGGAGAGAGGATCTGTATTGAGCCCACAGAACTGGCAGGAAAGTCGCAAATAGTCCTGAAGTTGAACTCATCCTTCAAGTTGTATCTTCACTGGTGAGTACCTGGGCTGCAGTTGATCCAGACTCGGTGTGACCCAGATCCTGGGGGCTGCAACTGACCACGGTGGGGTTCAGCCTGCATGGTTCTGGTCGCCATGGTGCTGGTCCGAACTTGGGTCGAGGTGGTGAACTACATCCTGGGCAGCCTCGTGCGCATAGTGTCCTTCCTGGAGCGACGGCACGCGCACATCAACCTGGACAAGGCGGTGGGCTTCATCATGCTGCAGGGTAGCCAAAACGGAACCAAGTCCGACCAGAATGGAGCTGCTGTTCTGCAGAGCTGGTGAGTACTCATAAAATTTTGCAGTACTGTACAGTAAATATATGTATGTTGTTAAAATTACAAAGGTTTAAGAGTTTAGAACATTGCAAGCGTGTGGAGAGGGTTTATAAAGCCTTGAAATATATATAAATACTATAAAACAGCGTTCCTGCTTTGCTGTTTTTCACCTATCGCTTTGGTGTTTGGAACGTAACCCCTGTGATAATCGAGGGACTACTGTACATGTACTGTACTGTACACAAAAATGACTACAAGTCGGTTTGATGTGCTAGAAACAAAGAGGCGTACCCAACTCATACTCTGAATGTAACATTTTGATATGGCATAAGATTGTGCAAACAGTTATTTTCAAGGTTTGACCTACAACCCATTGTAGATCATTTTTCATCGCAAGGAGGGTTTAGTCCAAAACTCTGACATGTAAAGTGTTTAGCAAAATGCTTTTCTTCAAAGAACGCTTGGCATTAATGTCAATTCATTTTTATATAGCGCCAAGTCACAACTGAAGTTGTCCCAGAGCACTGTACAAAAACATTCACATACATAAAAAGTCAAATGGTAACGTTAGAAAACCAGCAGATTGAGTTCAATCTTCGTTTCATCACAGTCTCCCATTCTGAGCAAGCAAAAAGGCAACAATGGAAAGGAAAAACTCCTTTTTAACAGGAAGAAACCTCCAGCAGAACCAGGCTCAGGATAAGCGGCCATTTGCTTCGACCGGCTGGGTTTGAGAGGACCGGAAAGCGAAACAGACACAGAATGGCAGATCCAGAATGGAGGTGAGCAGATGAGCACGTCTTTCTCTGGGAGGAAAATCAAAAAAACACGCTAAGATAGAAATAATTACAAATACAAACAATTAATTTGTATTCATTTGTAATTATTCGTTTGAGGAAATGAGTCAATTTGTCCTCCAGTAGTCTAAGCCTATAGCAGCTAAGGGATAGCTCAGGAAACCAAGCCAACCCTATAGGGTTTATCAAAAAGGAAAGACTTAAGCCTAATCTTAAAAGTAGCCAGTTTTGTTTTCGGTAACATTGGTTTGTCTGTCTATGTACAGGATTATACACATCAAAAAATTATGAATAGATTTTCATGAAAATTTTCCAGATCCCGGATTTTTTTTTTTTAAGGATTCTTGTTTTTCTGTGCTCAAGATGTTACTGCGTGAGTCATGTATGGTCTTGGCAGATGTGTGCGCTCTCCAAGTGCTTCTAGTTTATTTAATCCAGTTTGGATTTTAAACCTTAAAGATTCAATTTAACATCCATCCTCTAAGCCATGTTTTTACTACATAACTGTAAATTGACTGTTTTTGTTAACAGCTTTAATAAACTAAAGGTCTATAATATACTTTTCATAGCCCAATTAGACTTGTGAAAGACGATAATAAACCTTATACGCAGTCATTTGTCTCTCATTGGGACAGATCTATCAACAGCACACTGCTCTTTGAAAGCATGCAGCATGTCTTCAGAGTGGTAAAAGATGGCAGATTAAGGATGGATGAGTGGCCACGGGGACAAAGAAAACTCTGTCAGGCAGCGTGAATCTGACTGGGAGAGGAAGCTGAGCGGAAATGGACATGGAGATCAGACTAGAACACAGTGTGACAAGGTAACAAGGTAAACTGATCTGGACCGAATCAATGAGGGCTCTGTCAAGATGAAAGCCCTCTTAAATATCAGCTTTTGAGTATTTTTTTTAGCTAACAAGAATAAACTTAGATATTACAATTTTTTTTAAAGTTATGTTTTGCTGTTGTTGGTCAGTTATTAATTCAGATGTTTAATTTTGGACTTTATCAGTACAGTCCAGCAGAGTTCTCAAGTCAGTCGACTCATTTGACTTGTTTTTTTGTTCTGGAAAGAGAAATGTAGACCAGCCGCAAAGGTCCAAATCTTCTCCAAGGACAAATGAGCAGCTACTTTATTTCTGCATCACTGTAAAGGATGCTTAAAACAAAACCGTGTCATCTGCAAAAAGCTTAACTTTAAGAGTTTGCTCAACCAAATTGATGTTAACTCTTTTTTTTTTTCTGTGATGCAAACTTGCTTCATCAGCTAAGAACTAGAAATTAAATTAAATGACACAGAATATAATCCCAAGTATCTTGGGGTTTTGTTCATGAGTGAGGGAAGAATGGAGCGTGAGATTGACAGATGAATTGGTGCAGCGTCTGCAGTATTGCGGACTGTGCTGGTCCGTTGTGGTGAAGAGGTAGCTCAG